TAATTATCTAATAAAATATTATTTAATTAAACGCTACGCTTGAAGCAGTCCCTGACACTTATTTCTTATTCCTCCAACTATTTGTTGTTTTTGCAAACTTTTTTGTAACGTCCTTGAAATTTGAACTTTTGTTTTTTCATCAATTTGTGGTAATCTGATACATCCTGTTCCTGTCTTTTCGATTGTTCCTCTTGAATATATAAGGTTTTTTTAATAAGCGTCAGTCTCTTTATCTGCAAAATTCATCCTATTTGCGTGTTTTCTAATTATGCAATTGCATAATGTTCCTTCATTTCTCAAATGCATCTGCCATCACGTTTCTTTCTACTTGGATTAATTGCTTTTTATAAAGATTTTACAAATTTGACGGAAGGTGGTTCTTGTAATTTATCTAATTTCTTTTCTATCGTATTAGAATAACTGTTCATATTTTCGTGACCAGCATCTGCACGAGCAGCTAATGTACCTTTGACTGCAACAAGTCTAGCTGCTTTTCTTTGTAAATCTTGAAATAGTTTAATTGTGTATAAATATTATACTATTATTGTACAAGTACTTGATTGTAATCATTTTTTATAGACTCACAGGTGGTGTTTTTTCAGAATAATATATAAATTCTGTATGGGGTAACCTCATCATTAGCGAAAGAAATTCCAAAACCAAGAAATACTGTTCTCTGAGGTCCTAAGACTAATACGTTGGAATCTGGCACTTTGGATAATTTTGTCAAGCAATATCTAATAAGTAACATAAATATATTATATTTTCAAAATAATATATTGTTCTTTTTGTTAATGTATCTTTCTACACATTCGAATATTTTAAATTTACAATTATTTAATTCTATTACCATGTCACAGGCTTCGCATATAGCTTCTCTTTCTTCTTCACTTAATAACGGTTTGTAACGAAATATAATAAAAGAAATGCGATTGCAATTAGAAGAATTTAAGCATTATAAATGTATCTAAAGTATATAAATTATTTACCTTTGAGTCGTAGAAGCTATAATAGATAAAACCATTATAGCAGCTTACATAAGAAATTCTTTTAAAATTTCGTTATTTTTTTCTTTAGTAAGATCATTTCCAAATTCTCATACAGTCATTCCAAAGCTCCTACTATCAATGACTTGAGTTTTGGAAATCTTTTCTGATATTTGTCTTTTATGAACTGATGTATAGTAAATATATAAAACATATAAGTAAAAGTATAAATAAGAAAACTGATTAGTACAATAAACTCGCAACGTCGGCTTAAACAAATGAATTATCTATTTTGTTGTCTATTAGCTTCAACGATTAATCGATATTCTGGATCAGATTCAACAGGACCTATGATATCGGCTAACTTTCTAAGTACTCTACTGTATTTTTATATTTCGAACATAATCTTTTTCAACTCCATGGAATCATAAAGCTTTGCTAATTGTATCACAAAAGCAACTTTTACTTCTGTAATAAAAAGAAATTAATTTGTTATAAATATGTAAATCGTGCAATATGAAATAAAAACTAACCTTCTTCAATAGATTTGGAAATGTTTGCTAAAATAAAATCTAGTTCTGGTTCTTCCACCATTCAATTGAAATTACTTTCTTCTAAATCTACTAATAACTTGTCGGCAAGAGATATTATTTAATCATGTTATTATCTACTTTTATATACTTCAATAATATTAATACAACTCAACAGAAATAAAACAGAACAGTAGAGATCAACGCAGAACTAGCCATCATAGTTAGATAACATTATAATTTGCGGAAATGGTTTTAATTTGACTATCGTTCCATTTTATTTCTTAATTCGTTATTTATATTGAGTTAAGTTAAGAAAAAAGTTTGTTGGAATTCTCCCGGTCGATAATATTACTTTTGCATAACTCTGGAGGTATTAATCAATCAATCGCAATTAATAATCAATAATTGCGTTCGTTTGAAAGATGACATATTAGTGAGTATTTTTAGAAAAGTTATGATTATATTCATTTATTTATTTCAAAGTTATTACTTCTTGAAAATGAGTAAAAATAAAGAAGAAATTCGATATATTTTGAAATTTTATTACAAAAAACGAAAGAATATGACTTGGGCTGCAAAAAAAAATTTTGAACTAAAACATTCACCACGAAACAGTTTTAAACCATTTGAAGAAAGCTTGATACAAAAAAAACTTGATATTTTGATGGCACATCGAACCATTTTTGAAAAGGTTGATTATGGAGAATTAAAAATAGCTGACGTACGACAATAATGTAGGACAAAGTCAGAATTGACGCTATATTCTGTATAATATTAAAAAAAGCGATGCTGTGAAAAAAGTGATGTATACGTGGTAATACGGGGAACAAATTGTTCTCTATAAACTGCTGCCGCCCGGTTAAACTATTGATTCTAATGTCTATTATCAACAACTGGAAAGATTACGCCAAGCAATCGAGATAATTGATCAATAAGAAAGGTGGTATCTTCTATCATGACAATGTCAAATTGTACACATCATTAGTGACCCGTCAGAAATTGAGAGAGCTTGACTGAGAAGTTTTAATGCATAGTCCTGACCTTGTACTGTTTCATTACAATTTCATTAACATTATCATTTGTTTCGACCTTTGCAAAATTTTCTTAACGGTGTAAAACTGCTTTCAAATGAGGTCTGTGAAAATTACTTGTCAGTTTCTCGTTTAGAAAATAGAAGTTCTACAATGACAGAATTACGATTTTACTTTAAAGTTTAAATCTATTACACACAGATTTAAATATCACTTGGATATATGTTTGGTATAGGTTTGCAATATATATTTGTTTGCTTGTATATTTTCTTTATTAATGATTTTTTAAATGTTTATACAGATACACACACATATTGACAAAATCCATCATATGACTAAAAAGAATAAAAAAATACATTCCCGCGTCTTTATATTCTTTTTTGTCTGTCATTTTTCGAAAAAAATACTTTGGTGTAATCTTAGGAACATACATAAAACGGTAAAATAATACATGTTAGAATATCCCAACTTCAAAGATATATGTCCATTTGATTCCATATAAAAATAAATTCTTTGAATAAAACGTAATAACATTTCACTTTCAATAAATTTTGTTTCTGTAGTTTTAGATATGTAAGTAAAATATTGATAAATTTTTAAGTATATAAACTATATTTAAAAAACTCACTAATATAAATATTTTAAAAGCTATTCTTTCTCTTCCCCTATTTCTTTCTATATTTAATAAATTACTTTTGTTTCATTTAAATTATTTCACACACACACATACACACACACACACACACACACACACACACACGTGTATATATGATGATTCTTAGAATAAATTGGAAGCGAATTTAATATAGTATGCTATATATATTATTATGCTATAGCATGCTTTAAATATAATTAACTAATATTTAAACATTAGAAGATTCTTAGCAACATTACAAAGATCAAATACATATATTATAGAGATCAGATACATATATTATAGAGTTTTGTATGGAAGATCATAAATGGATATTTAAATGCAGTAACCTTCATGTGGTAAGACTTGGGCCGGTATTGCGATATATCGAAATTTTATACGATGCAAGTATTATCAAGCGAATGACTGTATATTTAAAGATTTTCCAAAACCTTTTCAATCTAATTCCAAATAAACATCGAAGTACATACATTTTACTTTTTATACTGCTAATTATATTTCAAGAAATAAATAGATTGGATATAGAAGATTTCTAAATTAATTTCTTAGAGAAACGAATAGAAAATTTTTCTATTGCCCTTATGATCGTCATTATATCTACATATTTCCTATATATTCTTATTAATTATTGTTTATAAGCCTCGGGTGAGATCCATGAGTGGGGCTCATTAGTGTGGGCTTTTGAGAGGAGCCTTGGGCAGTCTTCTTTCGATATTGAAAAATCGAGCTTGATCTTGATATTCTGATTTTACTTGAGATAGAGAGATCTTCAAGATATCCATTCTTTGTCCTTAATTTCATTGTTTTCAGACGTGCACTCGTTCCATCGCATCTTCCGGATTTCTATTCTTATTTTTTTCTTCTTCTTTTCATTACTGAAGCATCGAGGGACCGTTCCATTACCGTTCTGTTTCATGATCGAGGGATTCAGATTTCTACACGGATATTTAAAGAATTTTTGTATCTGAAGTATAGAAGGACTTCTTTTCTAGTACAAGAGACAGAAAGAGAGAGAAGGAATGAATATGAAAGAAAGATAGAGAATGGATGATTGAGAGAGGAAACGGGAGAAAAAAGAATAAACAGAGATAGAACGAGAAAAAGAAAGAGAAATAAAGAGAAAGAGACTAAGAGAGAAGCAACGTAAGATGGTATCTCTGGTCTCTTTTCCTTTTTTCTTGCTTCGCGAGGTTAGAGTTAAAGTATGGCTGTCCAGTCGTGAAATACCCATGAACAAGCTGAGACCAGATGAGTGCGAAACCTCAAGCCGGACGGCTTTGCAGGCCAGCGGAGTGTGACTTCTCGACCGACAAACAGGGGAATCTATTTTTCATTAGGAAACATGACATAACATTTGTTTTCTCCTTTATTGTATTTTATCAATTATTATTATAAAAATTATTATAGTCCTTGATCTCTACAAGCGATTGGACAAACAGCTGAAATTTTCATTTTTTCATTTTTTCTCTTATTCCTCTCCAAATTTTTAGAAATTATTCATCGTATTATATATCGCGTATGCATATAGTGATCTATTAGTATTGTTATTATCATTATTATTATTATTATTATCAGTATTATATCTATTCTTAAAAATACGCAAATACATAATTGTTTTTAGATCCGTACCATACATAATAAGGCTTCATCATAAGAGCAAAGGATCATCATCTTGTGTGGACAAAGTAATAATTTCCATTCGAATGTCTTGTCTCTGTCATCTTCATTTTTGTGCTCAATGAATTTTTCTATATCGTTTTCTTACAAAAAAAGGATCCAAATTTTGCAATGGCAGTCACGACAGTTTTATTAGTACAATTGATGAGTATAAGCGCACATATTTCGGTTGTTCGGAAAGTAATTTCGTATTTTCCCGATATAGGATTTAATTATATTTGTTTGCACTCAACTTCACACTTAAGCCGCATAATTATTATATGTTTTGATAGCAAGGCTTGTATGTGAAAAAGTCCAATTGATTCTACGCAGTAGTTTTTGGTTGGTGTCTTTTTAAATATGGAGAGCAGCAAGCAGTATTTTTTTCATATTTTATTTTTTTACTATAGAAAAGGAAAAAATGCTGTTCAAGTCAGAAAGAAATTAACCGATATGTATGGAAAAGATGTGTTGACAGTACGCCAGTGCCATGACTGTTTTGCAAAATTTCGATCCGGAAATTTTGATGTTGAAGATGCACCACGTTCTGGAAGGCCGGTTGAAGCTGATAAAGACACGATAAAGGCATTAGTTGATGCAAACCGGCGAATAACAACACGTGAGATCGGTGAGAGGTTAAATTTATCAAATTCAACTGTTTATGACCACTTGAAAGGCCTAGGTTTAACCTCGAAGCTGGTTATATGGGTTCCTCATGTTCTCACGGAGAGAAATTTGTGTCGTCGCGTTGACGTCTGTAAATCGCTTCTCAAACGTCACGAAAATAATCCATTTTTGAAGCGCATCATTACTGGGGACGAAAAATGGGTTGTATATAACAATGTCAAACGCAAGAGATCATGGAGCAAAAAAGATGAACCGCTTCAAAGCATTTCCAAAGCCAATATCCATCAAAAAAAGGTGATGCTGTCTGTTTGGTGGGATTTTAAAGGAATCGTTTTTTTTTGTAATTTTACCGGATAACACAACAATTAATTCGGAAATCTACTGTCATCAGCTGGACAAACTGAATGATGCACTTCAACAGAAAAGACCAGAATTAATCAACAGAAAAGGTGTAGTGTTCCACCAAGATAATGCGAGACCTCATACAAGTTGGGTCTCTCGCAGAAAGCTTTTACAGCTTGAATGGGATATAATGCCACTCCCACTATATTCTCCAGTTCTGGTACCTTCGGATTATTATTTGTTTCGGTCACTGAAAAATTTTTTAGATGGTAAAACCTTCACTTCAAAAGAGGAGGTCAAAAATCATCTCGATCAGTTTTTTGCCATCAAAGACCAAAAATGTTATGAGCGTGGAATCATGCTACTACCAGAAAGATGGCAAAAGGTATTGGATCAGAATGGCCAATATATAATTTAATAAAATATTTGTTCATTATACGAAAATTGTTTTTCATTTTCACAAAAAAAAAAAACAAAATTACTTTCCGAACAACCCATTATATTTTGTACTCGAAGTCGTTGCCTTTATTAAATATAATTTTAATTTATATTGTCTATACTTAACAATTTTATTGTGGTTACTACTTGTATCGTTGGTTACTTATAATGTAAACAAAAACAGTAAACATTGGAGCTCTCTCAAGATGTGCAAGTATAAAAGTAAAGTCTTAAAGTAATTATATTTTTATATTAAACATTTGCTAAATAATTTCTACAATTCTTTGTAACAACAATGATATTAATAATTTAGTCTCTTTTTCAGAACGTCATTTCAAACACGTCATTGCAAAGCAATGTAATAGAGTATTTGCTTCACTAAAATATACATAAATATCTCAAAATAGAAGCAATATTTATTCTCGCGTGTCGCGATTTAATCGTTGAGTAAACTTGCATTGAGCGTGCAATGCAGTCTATTCGAGTCATTGTTCGTTCGTAAAGTTTTTGCTTTCTTAACAGTCATACAGGCTGTATTTATAAAAGATAGTAAAGTTTCGCGAAGTAATTTCAGTGATCGCGCGTTCAAAAATAATTAGGGCGTATTAGAGTTAGTGCACCATTGAAGAGGATCTCAACCAATTTCGATGTCGACCTACCTCATATTCAATTAGCTACGAATCATTTTCGATTCTCGTCGAGTAATCGTCACAATTATGCCGTTCCTTCGTTCCCTGGCAAAACTTAGCTAAGAAGTAATTGGAAAGGATGAGTGACGAAAGGATGTCTCTTCTTCTTGTTCTCAACCATGGAAACTTCAGAATCAAGGTTATTTCTCAACTAATTCTTTTCGGAAAACGATGTCTCTTTCCTTTCTTTTTTTTTCTTTTTTTTAACAATTAACGATAACACGTCAGACGAACTTCGTGTTTTTATTAATTTAATATATTTTTTTGTTTTTTGTAAATACTTTCGTTATATTCTCAACACATTTGTTAATTAATATTATTTTTACATAATCTAAGCCGAATTAACTTGACAATGTTATATATTTCGTAAAAAATAGTTTCCAAACAAATGTAAAATAAATTTTATTTCATTTTTTTTTAATCTGAACTTCCCCTACGTAAACACAGACACATACACATACGCATACATGCACGCACACAGACACCTATATGTAGGTATAGAAATTAGTTTGGCCAAAATTAGTCATATTTTTTGAAAAACTAACTTTTTTTATAAACACAGAGCTATATACAAATATACACACACGTGCTCACGCGAACATAAACATAGACAGAAATTTGACCTTCAACTACAGAACAATATTCTTTTCTTTTCTGTACTACTCCACCCTTTCTTATCTTGTTTCATTTCTTTTTCTCTCTTGCAAACAAAGAAAAGGAACGGATAGTTAAAAAAACTAACGAGAGACACGTTTTTTGAAGCTGCATAAGCAAAACGATGAAGGTGGCTGTAAGGACATAAAGGTGAAAGTGGAGATGGAGATGGTTGTAAAGGTCGTGGAGAAGGAAGAGGAAAGTCGTTTTACATGGATGGAATGCGATCTTTCTTTTCTTTTCGAACATCTAATCAGCACAACATTAAACCGACCGCTTTTATTCAGATGCAGATTGTCTTCCATGTCGTCAAGTGAAAACAGAAAGAAAAGAAAAAGAGAGGGGGGTTTGCAAAAGAAGAAGACGAAAGGGATGAAATCTTCGGAAAGAAGAAAAAGAAATATGTAGAAGGGTGATGCGTGAGGGAATGAACTTCAAAACATTGAATTTAAAGTCGATTTCGTAAAACTCGTTTTACTCTAGCCTAGGTAAACTCTAACTATAGTTAATATTTAAACGTATTTAACATCAATGTAGTTTTAAAGTTGTTGAAACAGATACACACATATACACACATTTTTTTCTTTTTACTTTTTAAAAATATTTCTTTCTATTTTTCTTTTCAATTTTATTTCATTTTTTGTATTACAAGAGTAATCATTCATATTCATATCGTTCATTTCAAAGATTATTATTTTTTAAGTTAGATAATTTATATATATGTATATATTAATTATAATTGTTATTTATTTCTTTGATGTTGTATTTAGGATATTATTAAATTATGATATTAATCGTTATAATATTAATTCATTAGAATATTCAATTCATTAGAATATTATAATTGTGGTATAATTATATGATATAAGTTTTAAATGATATAATTGTTTTTTTAAACATGAAATAAAATTCGATTATAAATTGTTATAAAACAAAAGGATTTTGTAAAGATAAAACTGTTACAAATTTTTATATTATGATTATATGTATATACTAATGTAAAATATTACAGTAACAAAATTTATATTATTTAATTTTTTTTTTAAAGGAAAAATTAATTCTGTTATAGATGATTAAAAGAAAATATAAAAATTATATTATAGTTATAGATTCTATAATTTTGTTTTAAATATGGAAAGTTCATATTATATAATTTTTCTTTTTTTTTTTAAACAAAAAGTATTAAATTATAAAAAGGTTAATTCATTCTTCAATTCTCTTTTACTTTTTCCGATTAATCGAGCTCAACGTTTTGGGTATTATCAATTTCTTTTTTTTCTTTTTCGTTCTTTTTTTTTTTATAAGATCGATACGATAGTTTTATATATTTTCAATCCTTCCTGAATGATGATAAATAAAAGACATGTAAGAGTAAAATTTATAAATAAAAAACATTCTAATGAATAAAAGACATGTAAAAGTACAATTTCAGAAAAATTTCATAAAACCATCTTTTTCACTTAACTTATTATATTGTTAAATCTTATTTTCTGGAAAGAATATTCTATAAATTTATAAATGCAAAGTTTCTTTTTATAACTCCAGTATAATTTTGAATATATCGTCATTTCTAGAAATTGAAAATTATTTGATTTAATGAAATAATGTCGATAAAATATCAAGATATACTCGAACGATCGATTTTACATACATGCATACAACATATATGTTGTATATTGTTGACGCACACTCTTCATTATCTCTTCATTGTTCGCGGTACTTTATCTTAAGGGTTATGTATCACCATTGGAAATATTTATCCGTGGGAACCTATTGGATATTAACTAATAAAGCGCATAGATAAAAACTCGTGGCCACTATTGTCTGGATTTTGATAATATGTCAATCCGGCTAATGATTAAACAACGGAAGCAGACGCTTAGGCGCGATAAGCCAAGGGTTATCTGATTTCTAGCTTTGTAATATCCATTGTCATACTCTAATCAGACGAACATTAGAGCAAAGGGGGCACACACGGAATGTTTAAACATTTCAACGAACTATCCACGACCAATGGACATTTATTCTTTCCCTTTCAATATGTCAAACTCCGCCCTTTACCAATTTCATTTAAGTTTACGTGGATAGTTCAAAATAGGCAAAAGGCAGTCAAATCACATCTTTCAGACTCGCAACATCTAAGCTCTCAAGCCTCCTTCAGAAGCCATCAGTACAACTAACTACACATCATACACGAGACACACTATTGTTAGTGTTATTTACAGTGTTAATAGTTACAATTGTTTGTAACTCATTCAATCAAATACACGGTGAGATTTATATAGCTCGCATTATTTAATATTGTGCGATTACTTCTCCATTTCTCACGGGATCCTTTAAAAGAACACACGTTTTCCCATTAATTTTCGGAAACGCGGCGAGCGGTATTTTGCTGACGGCTTACAACGGTGTCCTAGCCTAGTGCCATCACCTTTATTCATCGCGACCAGTGGGTCTATAGCTCGGACAACAAGGACGAGACGGGGGACATTTCCTCTGTGTGAAGTGGCTGTCATCGCTGGTCTAGGCGAGAAGCGCATTTAAAAATGCCCTCATCAATAATCAACATATATATAACATAAATACGTAAACATATATGTATATACATTTATCGTTAAAATGTGAATATGAATACATATTCACATATAATATTCAAAGGATGTTAGAAGGAGGACCTATTCAGGGCAACATAAAAATGTCGCGCGAAAACGATGTCGAGACAGTCAGACGTTTTAGATGTGAATCTAAGATACCTCGATGTGCTGCTGCTATTACTATTAGGAGATAGTCATCCTTCCGTTACTCCTACCCATTGTAGTCGTCGTTGTAGTTGTCGTCTTCGTACTCATCGTAGTTGCAGTCGTTGTCATAGAACACTGACTATGATGTCTTGTAAAACATTTGTTAGACGTGCTAATAAATTACCATCTCTCTGTACGACCAACTTTCGTGAACGAGACATTCTTCAAGTATCTAAAAAGATATTGTATACATATATATATATATATATATGTATGTATTATTAAGCATCAACCGAAATCATCAATCGCAAATCGGAAATGTAACTTTGAAAATTATCTGCTCGATTTGCGAAACCGATAAATCGAAGAAAATAACACTTTTATATTCAAGAAGGAAATAATAGCTAAGAGGACAAGTAACGATCGTGACGTTGTTAACGATTTTACTGATTAGCCTCGAATTATTTATCGATCCTTTCGCGTTGTCACGCTATAGTTTCAAGTCGTAATGAGTGATAATAACGGGTGTATAAAAATGGGAATGATTATGACAATCATATCTGAAGAAATATTAATATATTACGTAGAAGACATTTGAATGGACATTTTTAATTTAGAATTCATTTTACTATTGCCGGCGTTAATTATTGTCAAACAACAGAACGTTAATTTGTCTATCATAAAAATAACGAGTATATTCCTTGATTCTTATCTTCTTATTTCCAAAGAAAAAAAATTGAAACTCGTAGAGAGAGAAAAAGGAGGCAAAAAAAGAAAAGTAAATGACAAAACGCGACGAAAAAAAGAAACGTGCAAACATGAGTCCTATCCGACAGGCAAAAGAAGAGAAGGAGAGAACACATCTTAAAATCAATTTTTTTCCTTCTTCTCTGGAACGAGATAACAAGCAAACGAAGATGGACTCCTAAGCTTTATTAAGCGAAAGCTGTAAACATACATATATACATACACATATACATACACATATGCATACATATATACGTACTTACTTACGCACACACATACATTCATATATACACATGTGTGTATCTACGTATATTTACATATTCATAAATATATAGATAAGTGTACCACTAGTATACATAGATAAAAAGAGAGTCAGAAGAGACTACGGAGATGATGAAGAAGAACGGAAAAGAAAGAGATAGATAGCGTAGAAACAATCTCGATCATAGATATTGGAAAGATGATTTATATGACAGTACGATGGCGAGGTGCAAACGTGTGGATGTGAGATTTTTAAGTGGACTATGATGGTAACGATGGCGGTGATGGTATCAATGTCGATGGTGGTGATGGAGGTGTGGAGGTGATTGGAGGATTGGAGATTATGGTGTAAGGGCATGGTTTTGGGAATATTGTGGTAATATAATTTACGTATAATGAACAAATATTTTATTAAATTATATATTGGCCATTCTGGTCCAATACCTTTTGCCATCTTTCTGGTAGTAGCATGATTCCACGCTCATAACATTTTTGGTCTTTGATGGCAAAAAACTGATCGAGATGATTTTTGACCAACTCTTTTGAAGTGAAGGTTTTACCATCTAAAAAATTTTTCAGTGACCGAAACAAATAATAATCCGAAGGTACCAGAACTGGAGAATACAGTGGGAGTGGCATTATATCCCATTCAAGCTGTAAAAGCTTTCGGCGAGAGACCAAACTTGTATGAGGTCTCGCATTATCTTGGTGGAACACTACACCTTTTCTGTTGATTAATTCAGGTCTTTTCTGTTGAAGTGCATCATTCAGTTTGTCCAGCTGATGACAGTAGATTTCCGAATTAATTGTTGTGTTATCCGGTAAAATTACAAAAAAAAACGATTCCTTTAAAATCCCATCAAACAGACAGCATCACCTTTTTTTGATGGATATTGGCTTTGGCAATGCTTTGAAGCGGTTCATCTTTTTTGCTCCATGATCTCTTGCGTGACATTATTATATACAACCCATTTTTCGTCCCCAGTAATGATGCGCTACAAAAATGGATCATTTTCGTGATGTTTGAGAAGCGATTTACAGACGTCAACGCGACGACACAAATTTCTCTCCGTGAGAACATGGGGAACCCATATATCCAGCTTCGAGGTTAAACCCAGGCCTTTCAAGTGGTCATAAACAGTTGAATTTGATAAATTTAACCTCTCACCGATCTCACGTGTTGCTATTCGCCGGTTTGCATCAACTAATGCCTTTATCGTGTCTTTATCAGCTTCAACCGGCCTTCCAGAACGTGGTGCATCTTCAACATCAAAATTGCCGGATCGAAATTTTGCAAAACAGTCATGGCACTGGCGTACTGTCAACACATCTTTTCCATACACATCGGTTAATTTCTTTCTGACTTGAACAGCATTTTTTCCTTTCCTATAGTAAAAAAATAAAATATGATGAAAATGCTGCTTGCTGCTCTCCATATTTAAAAAGACACCAACCAAAAACTACTGCGTAGAATCAATTGGACTTTTTCACATATAAGCCTTGCTATCAAAACATATAATAATTATGCGGCTTAAGTGTGAAGTTGAGTGCAAAATATATATATATATATATGTAAAGAAAGTATACTTTCTTCAGGTAGATTTGCCGCGCGTCTCATAATCCGCCCTTCCATTGTCTTTTATTATTTACAATTTCTTTTGTGACCTACGAATCGAGTCGTTAAGATTTGGAAGAGAAATGGGCAGGATAAAATATAACATAGAAGAAAAAAGCAACACGAGAGCTATAAGAAGATTTATAATATAATAGAAATAAAATTTAACAGTGTGAATAATAAACGTAAATTATCGTTACTTCGTTCACAGGTAAGACTAATTAGAAACTAAGCATTAATTAACAAATAAAGATTTATCACTTTGTTCACAGAGAAACATATTTTCGTTTATCACCTCCCATAATCAATCCGAGATATTATAAAACGATAATTTTTGTTTATAATGGAAAGAAAACTACAATTCGCATTTAAATGTGTGGCATTACCGAGCGACAGAAAAACAAAAGTGATTGCTATAACCTCTATCACAACTGAGGACAAAGAAAGATATATATTACCGGAAAATGAAAAAAACGAATAACCACACCATTGATCAAAGTAAAGATAGTATTAGAAGAGAAGTTAGAAGTAAACGGAACATATGACCCAGGTTCCCAAGTCTCTCTAATAAATTCTAAGACTAGAGACTAATCAAAATAAAAAAAGAAGAAAAAGAGACAAAAGATAAAAACAAAATATTTTTAAAGACGGTCAATGGTGTGACACAAACAAAAGATTTAGTAACCATTAAAATAAAAATTTTGGATGAAGAGGAATACGTTGATGTATTTATTGTAGAAAGAAATGACTTTGAAGATTTCATTATTGGGTTGGATATGATAAAGAAGTTCAAACTAACTCAAGATAAAAACTTACAGATATCTTAAAAGAGAGAAACACAGGCAAAAAAAATATAAATACATTAGATAGAAAGAAAGAAATAAAAGAAGTTAAAATAAATTTTAACGAACATGTGAATGAGGATGAATTTAGATCAGATCTGAATCACTTGGACAATACAAAAAAAACAAAGATAAAAAAACTTATAGAAAAATATAATTTTATATTTGCAAAAAATAAATATGATGTAGGTACCGTTCGGACTAAAAACATCACCAGCCATTTTCCAGAGAATACTATCTAATATTCTAAGAAAGCACAAATTAAAAGATTTGTCAGAGAATTACATAGATGACATATTAATTTTTTCAGTATCATTCGAAGAACATATAGAACACATAGAAAGAGTAATGAAGGCAATAGTAAACGAATGTTTCAGACTAAAATTTAAAAAATGTACATTTGCAACAGAATCAATGAAATATCTCGGACACATCATAGAGGACAATATAGTAAGACCAGTAAAAGATAATCTAATCTCAATACAAAATTTTCCTACTCCAAAAACTCAAAAGAATATTAGACAGTTTCTCGGAAAAATAAATTTTTACCACGAATACATACCAAAAAGCTCAATACTACTAGACCCATTACATAAACTGTTAAGGAAAAATGAAAAGTTTATATGGTCTGAGGAGTGTGAAAAATCTTTCACAAATGTAAAAAAATTATTATGTTCTCAACCAGTGTTGCAAATATTTGACAGAAATTTACCGATAAGAATTTACACAGATGCATGACTGGAAGGCATTAGTGAAATATTTAAACAAATACAGAGCGATGGTAAAGAAAAGCCAGTAGCATACTTTTCGAAAAAGTTAAATGATTCATAAAAGAGAAAAAAAGCAATTTACTTAGAATGCCTGGCGATCAAGGAAGCGGTAAAGTATTGGCAACATTGGCTGATAGGAAGAAAATTCACGATATTCACAGACCATAAACCATTAGCAGGTATGAACATAAAAGCTAGAACAGATGAAGAACTTGGAGAATTAATATACTATTTATCACAATATGACTTTCAAATAAAATATATTCTGGGAAAAGAACACTGAAGCAGATAGTTTAAGCAGAAATCCAGTACTGGAACCATGCGAAAATACGGAAGAAATATTAAAAGTTAATCTAATAGGAATAAAAGAAATAAAAACAGATCAAAAAGAAAATAGAATACTGCAAAGAATCAAAGCAAAACTAATAGAAAAAGACCGAATATTCTATAAAAAAATTAGAAACAAAGAAAAAATTATCTTATCTACAGAACTAAGCTTAAAATTAATTAAAGAAATATATTCTGAATGGTGTCATATAGGGATCAAACAAATGACAAACAGGATATCTCCTTATTATACAGCTAAAGGTATTACTGCTAATATAAAAAGTTTGCCAAAACTGTGAAATATGCATTAAGAACAAAACCAGGGGGCAAGGAAAATATGGACGAATGTCACAACTAGGACCGGCAACGGAACAGTTCGAAATTATGTCAATAGATACCATTGGAGGCTTC